AAGAACCCAAGATATGTTATACCTAGAATATATCATAAATAATATTAATGAAATATTCAGATTAAAACAACTATCGGAAAAATATTACAATAAATATTATTATGTTTTACCATGAATTTCGCACCTAATATTAAAGAAATATCAACATTAAGACACTTAGCAAAAGAATATTATAATAAAATCTTCAAAATAAATTACTCACCTACCACACTACCACTTCTATGAATTCCTCAGTTACCAATTCCGCACCGAAAAATGGTATTCAGTAGGTATTTTGGCATAGACAATATCTGTAAATTCAGCCCATAAGTTCTGAAATCCAGAGAAATAATCCTGAACAGAAAGACCTCCTTGAGAGTAATTAGCAATTTCATACTCTAACTGAAAGCGTCTTGTGCTATTATCTTGGTTGTAAACCTTTTGTAAGTAATCCCACATGGCCTTAGCTGTCTTGTATGGCCTGAGATTAAGAACAATAAGAGGGTCAATTGACCTTAGAATTCATGTCATCACCCGAGCATCTTTAATCTTCCATTCACCTAGCTTTGTTGCATCAGTAGGAGCAGGATTGCTTCCATCTATATGGCCCCATAGTTCTTTGCCGGTGACAAACAACTGAAACTGAAACTCCCAAGAAGAATCATTTTTTCCAGTAAAACGAACACTGAAGGATTCAAAGTGATGTGAATTCATGCTTTTGAATAGCTATGAAAACTATAAAGACTCAAGAAAGCAACTAGAATGACCAAGAACAAAATTCCCAGGTGGTAGGACTGATTGTCGATGAACAGTCAACCAAAAACCAAGATTTTCAAAAAAAAATTAGAAGGAACCACAGATGACTCTATGAAACAAGACAGCCAAGAGAAGGCTCTAATACCATGTCACTTTTCTACTAAATGTCTCTCAAAGTGAGAGTCTTTCCATTATATAGAGAAAATAAAGATTACACATCCCTAAAGATCTGCCATTCCTATCCGTAAAGATCATCTATTCTATCTCTACAAATCTGCTATTCAATCACTCTAAATCTGTCTTGCTATCCCTCCAAATTAGCTATTCTATCACAATATTTATTCCTTTGATTCTACAACAAATGTATATGATCATGCTAATTTATATCACTATATAATTACATTAATATATACAATCATTTAGTTGTCCATCATGCTAACAATTGTGTCTCAGTAAAGTGAAGCACGGACGGACAACATGGTCTGTAGAGTTGATTCGACAGTTAATTCTCAGGGTTAATTGAGTCTTTTCCTACTCTTTTAATTTTTATACTACATCATTTTTAGCCTATTTTGGGGAACTATAACCGTTTCTAAGACTCATATGTTGAACAAAATAAAATTGAGCAAGTAGCTAAGAGACTCTGCTGGAAAAAAGCTTGTTGAGAAGGATGATATCGCAATATATATGGCAGCGTTCAATCATATGAAGTGTACTGAATTTCAAAAGAGAAACAAAAACCCACCGATGTGTCCTGCCCAAGATCCTGATATTGCCTGGTTCGTGCTCCTTTTGATTTATCGTCACATTTGGTATTATCCTATAATCCGAATTCTATTAGCATTGATTATTTTGCGTCGATTTGATATTTGAAACTTGCTTAACTCCCTTGCCAGAAGTTGCAAATGAAAAATAGGTGGTCGGTGGACAATTGGAGAAGTGGCCTAAAAGATTACACGCAATACCACATAGGATAAGCAGAGGAACTGTAGATGGTGTCACAGAAGAAGTTTTCCAGAAGGATTCAGAGCTATGGAAAAGAAGAGTTTCTTATTACAAGTCAGTGAATAACCAGCTTGGCCAGCCTGCGTGATACAGAAACATCTTAGATATGAATGCATTCCTAGGTGGCTTTGCTGCAAATTTGGTCAATGATCATGTTTGGGTGATGAATATAGTTCCCGTTGAGGCTAAGGTCAATACACTTGGTGCCATTTATGAAAGAGAACTAATTGGGACATACCAGAGCTGGTAATTACTATGCTTCCTTCACATTTCCCCCTTAACCCCAGTAAATAGCAGCATTATGATTTTAGGTCGACTATAGCTATGTGCACAAAAAACTAGTACTATTGACAGAGTTAGATGTACATTTCAGTACATACGCTCTGAATTCAGAACTCATATTGTCTAAATTCTGGATCTACCTACCCCTAGTAGTTTTGCTTTTGTGATGAATATTAACTTTTTTCTATAGGTGTGAGGCTATGTCAACTTACCCAAGAACATATGATCTCATTCATGCTGATTCTGTATTTACCCTCTACGAAAACAGATAAATTATGAGTATCCTTATAACTGAAATATGTGCTTTTGAGTATCTTTATAACTGTATTGCTGCAAAGCCAAGTGATTGAATCTCAGGGTCAGCCACAGACATGCTTGGCATCACTTGGGAACCTGAACGTCTGTTCCCCATTTGTATTACCAGGACCATCGAATATGACTCCTAGCACAGAGTGTTGTGCTGCCCTCCAATGACTGGATCATGAGTGCATCTACAACACTGTTCGTGTTGATGCCCGCCTTCCCTCTCACTGCAACCTTTCTCCCATCTCTTGTACTCATCATCACTAGTCATTTTAGCATATTGAATTTGTTCCAAAGAAGTATTTGTTCCTTTTTTTTTCCAATTAGTGGAGTGTTAGTGAAACTTTCAACAAATAATCATATGTTAGGAAAATTAGGATTTTTTGGTGGTGTGATTTTTCTGTTAGTATACTCAAAGTCTTGGCAACACAACGATGTTTTTGTTGATTTTTTCTGTTATTTCTCTCAGGACTGAGAGGTACTTGATATGTGAGTTGAGAAAAAAGAAAAGGAAACCGCGAGATAGAAGAAACATTATATATTAAATATTCTAATAAATTAAGACGAACTAAATCAAACTGCCTAGTAGTACGTAGTAGAAAGAACAAAAAAGTGCTAAAACGAATAATAAACACTGTGCTTTACATGCCAAACTGGGAAGTTCCATCACATTTCCATAGAAAGGTGGGAACACAGCTGAGGTAGTGACACCAATGACAGTGATCATATATGTTCACTCCTCGAAATACCATCACCAATCCTATTGTAAACCTGCAGTTTCATGTAAACAAGATTATTTGGTCAGGTCCATCATCATCCTATCGGAAATACCAAATTTGTTGACACCAATAGATAGTAGAAAATACTTACACTGACCCTGTAACTAGTAGAATCAGAGAAAGCAGTCCAAAGACATTTCGGTAGGCCTTATATTTGGAGTAGACATGATCAACAACTGGAAGATTCTGATCATTTTCTGCCCGCCCTACATGAGGAGGCACGAGCAGAACAAATCTAAGGAGAAGTCCAGTCATGAATCCACCGATATGAGCAAAATTACCAACGTGAGGCAGCATTCCAGCTGCCAGATTTATGACAACTATCAGCAACAGAGTGAATAGTGCACCAACAGAGACGCTCCAATTTGCAATAATCTCTGAAAACTTAACTCCAATAAGGCCAACGAGAGCCCCAGAAGCACCAATAGAGACGCTCCACTGAATAAATTACGAGGTAAGTATGCTCCCCCCAATTCCTGAGAATAGGTATATGATACCAATGCGGACTGTCAAAGCAAAACAAGTTAATCAAATCAATATCAGCATAAAGCAAAAGAGGGTCAAAATTCACATATGAGAAGGCGCTGACATACCAAAACCATATTGTTGCTCAAGGTGTTTGGCAACAACCATAAAACCCATTGTACTTGCGAGTAGATGAATAAGACTAGCGTGCAACCATATACACGTGATAAGCCTCCATCCTTGATGATTATAGACCACTTTATTCCAATCAAGAGCACCAAGCCTCTCTAACCTTCATAAATTACAAAATGCATTCTTTTTGAAGACTCATTTCCTCATTACAATACAAGCAAAATACATATTATGCGAGGTAGAATGTTTTAAAACTTTTAATAAGCTAGAATTGCAAGACTCATACTTATTTCTAGGGAACCAAGACAAGAAACACGAAACTGAGTTCACGCGGGCGACAAAGTACGGTTTATGTGGTCTTGCCCTTTTCCAGACTCGTGCATAGGGGGTGTTTAGTGCACCGGGTTGCGATTCATACCATGTTATGTGAACATATTACTATTTGGGGAATCAAATAATTTTTTCTTTTGACTATAATTTTTTCAAACATCCTTTAAACATTTTGAATTATTGGCTATGTTCGACTTGTACTACTTTTCATAGAGTTTTCAAATATATAAATTTTATTTTAAAATATTGAACATGTTACATAAATTGGAAGAGGGATATAGTAGTACTTACATTGAAGAAGAAAGGCCAAAGAGAGGATTTGGACACTTTGAATCCTGCTTTTGACAATGAATGTAAAAGCTAAGTTGCTCGGACTCGGGTGCGGGTATCCGAGACGGATGCAAATCCGAGAGTCGGATTCGGCAAAATCCAAATTTTAAGATTCGTGGGTGCGAATCCGAGTATGGATACGGGTGCGGGGATACGGCTAAAAATTTTCAATATTATAAAAATATAGTTATGAAGATATTCTAAATTTGAAAGATATGTTGTGATAAACTTACATGTATTTTGTAGAATTCAATCTTCCATTCTTCAAGATGATATTACTCTTCCATTCTTCCTACAAAGACACAACAAAATAGAAACTAAACATTAAAAGCATTTACAAATTACAATAGAATAAATATAACTAAAAGAATCAATAAAAATTGAAAAGAAGAACTAACCTTAGAACATGGATAGTAACTCGTCTCTTGAAATAAAGTGAAAGTGAAAATACTGCAATTATTAAAATTTAAGATATCCACAAGATAGTTATCCACAATTTAGATATTCATAATTACTAATCAATATTCAATACGCCAAGTAAAAGTGTAAAACATACTATTTAACAAAAATCAAGAGATTGTGTCAACTTAATCCATAACTTAAAATTAACATAACAACAAAATATTGTCAATTATCAAGTTATTTAATTAAGTTAGCTATCTCTTCCACATCTTCTTCAACTTCTTCCAAATCTTCAAACTCTTCCTCAAATATCACACCTTCAAATTGAGGTTCATCTATTGAAAGCTCGGTTAGATCATTAGTTGTCTCATCAATATCAAATCGATCTCCACCTAAAATAAATTAAAAAGAATAAATATATTAGAAGATTTTATATAAAAAGAAAAAAAACATCATTTAAACTAAATAATTGAAGAAAATATAGACATACCAACATCCCAATATTTGCTTGGCCCATTTATATATTTCTCTTTCTTGCGAGACAACAACCGGAGATTATAATGTACAAACACTAAATCTTCGGCTCTTGAAGTTGCTAACTTATTTCTCTTGATATTGTGAATCAAAGAATATGTACTCCAATTTCTTTCACAACAAGAGGAAGAAGCCGGTTGAGTAAGCAACTTGTAAGCTAATTGTTGCAAAAGCGGAGCTGAGACCCCATGATTTGCCCACCAAGAAAGAGAATATTCATACATCATAGCCTCAATCACGTGAGGCTCACTAAAATAGCCACTTCCGCTACAAAAGGATCCATACTCGAATGAGACTTGTTTCATTTCATTAGAATCTTTAAAGTACCTTTGAAAGCACTTGACTCTATTCAATGAAATTTCACTATCTTCATTAGGAGCTAGCTTTCGAATTCCATTCTCTCCTTGAAGCCATGATTCATGATAATATTTGGGAACCAAAGAATGTGCCATACAATGTAGAGGTGTGTTACTTTTGTTCCACCTAGCCACAAGAATATCATGAATAGTATCACAAAAATTTGATTGACCGGAAATGAGATCTTTCCCCTCATGCTCAAAGATGACTTTCTTGACCTTCTCAATCATTGAGTCCCACATATCATAGATGAGATGTAATTTTGGACCATCAATAACTGCACTTCTTAGCATATCAACAATTGGTTCCGTAAATTTCAAGAAATAATCAATACTATCCCATTTTTCATCATTCATTATAAGGGATTTTATTTCACGTGTTTTGGCTTCAATTCCCTTATCCCCCTTATAATTCTTCCATTCATCATCCATGACCATTTTCTCCAAAGAAGATTTCACTTTGCGAATTCGGGTGGTCATAATGATGTGTGAGGCAAATCTTGTTTCACCAACCTTCAACAAACACAAATCCGAATATTTTTGAAAAGGTGCATGTGCCAAGTCATGGTTCACAACAAAGTTCTTCAAATTACTCACTTCACTAAGTAACTCTAAAATCCATTTACAATTAGTAAAGTGAGGTTATTTTTCCGAAGGTTGGCACATACTTTTCAAAGCTAGATTCAAACAATGAAAAAACACAAGGAGTCCAAAATATATGAGGATATTTTTGCTCCACAATAGTACCGGCAAGTTTCATATTACTTGCATTATCCGTAATAACTTGAACAACATTGTTTGAACCTACATTTTCTATTGCTTCAATAAATAAGTTAGCAATATATTCACCATCTTTTACGATTCCACTAGAATTGATTGAATTTAAAAACATTGGACCTCCACTAGATGATGCCATTATATTGATCAAAGGTCGTCTTTTAGTATCGGACCATCCATCCGAACAAATCAACAATCCTTTCTTTTTCCATGTACCTTTAATTGGTTGCAACTTTCTATCAATATGTGTTTTTTCTTGAGTTAAAAGAGTTGTCCTCAATCTATTATATGATGGGGGAATATAACCAGGAATGGAATTTTCGGCTAGAAACTTAGAATATTTTTTAAAATAAGGAGAGTTTGCAAAGTTGAACGATAAACCTGATGCGTAGAACATCCTAGCAGCTAATTTGTCGGCCATATTTCTCTCATAGATGCCGAATGATTTTCCTATAGCTCCATACTCGAACTCTTTCTCTTTTTTTGTTGAATTAAATCAGTCCCCTCCGGAAGTAATATATAATCAGCTTTGTTTCTTGCATCAACTTGAACAATGGTTCTTTTTCTTTCGGCTTGTTCATGCTCCATCTTCAAAGTCGCATATATATCACCACTACTTTCTTTACATATTTGAACACCATGACCTGATAATCTCAAAAGATGTGTTTTCATCCTAACTATTTTATTGTAATAGTTACAAGACCATGTTCTATTCCCACCCCCATTTGGAGCAATCGAAATAACTTTCACATGATTCCATAGAGGTTTATCATCAAAATCTACTCCTACACTTTTTGTAGGTCTCATAAAATATTTTCCTTTTTGACTACTTGATGCCATCTTGTTAAACAAAGGAAGATGAATTTTTTTTTGGTTTACAGTGAACTTGAATGAAAAAACAAAGAAGAAACTACTCTACTGGAAAATGAAAAGATTTTTGGTTTTAGGAGGGAAAAGTTGGTGACAATGGAAAGATTTTTGGACTAGATGATGGCTAATGGGATGTCATCTTTTTGATGTTTCTCTACTTGGAAGACTTTTTGAGCTTTTCTTTTTTTCAAGAGGGGTGTATGTATTGTGTACATATATTTTTACTATTTTAATTTGAATTGTTTTTATAGTTCTAATAGAAATAAAATTATTTTATCTAATTTTAATCTATGTGAGATCGTTTGGATAGAATGTTTTTATCTAACGAGACATGATCCTTGATCTGGATATATATATATATATATATTTCTAGTATTTCGATAGTTCGAAGCTTATAACAATAGAAAGAATCAAAAGATCTAGTAAGACGGGATCCTTAAAGCGCTTGTATTGATATGAAGAATTAAGTGATCTAGCGAGACATGATCCTTGATCTGGATATGATATTGTGCATGAAACTATATATATATATATATATATATATATATTTCTAGTATTTCAATAGTCCGAAGCTTGTATTGATTGAAAGAATCAAAACATATAGTAAGACGGGATCCTTAAAGCGCTTGTATTGATAGGAAGAATTAAGTGATCTAGCGAGACATGATCCTTGATCTGGATATGATATTGTGCGTGAAACTATATATATATATATATATATATTTCTAGTATTTTGATAGTTTGAAGTTTGTATTGATTGAAAGAATCAAAAGATTTAGTAAGACGGGATCCTTAAAGCGCTTGTATTGATAGGAAGAATTAAGTGATCTAGTGAAACATGATCCTTGATCTGGATATGATATTGTGCATGAAACTATATATATATATATATATATATATATATATATATATATATATATATATATTTCTAGTATTTCGATAGTTTGAAGCTTGTAATGATAGAAAGAATCAAAAGATCTAGTAAGACGGGATCCTTAAAGCGCTTGTATTGATAGGAAGAATTAAGTGATCTAGCGAGACATGATCCTTGATCTGGATATGATATTGTGCATGAAACTATATATATATATATACACACACACACACATATATATATATATTCTAGTATTTTGATAGTTCGAAGTTTGTATTGATTGAAAGAATCAAAAGATTTAGTAAGACGGGATCCTTAAAGCGCTTGTATTGATAGGAAGAATTAAGTGATCTAGCAAGACATGATCCTTGATCTGGATATGATATTGTGCGTGAAACTATATATATCTACATATATGTCTAGTATTTCGATAGTTTGAAACTTGTAATGATAGAAAGAATCAAAAGATCTAGTAAGACGGGATCCTTAAAGCGCTTGTATTGATAGGAAGAATTAAGTGATCTAGAGAGACATGATCCTTGATCTGGATATGATATTGTGCGTGAAACTTGATTTGGTTTGGTTTGATTTTTCTCTTTTCGATTTGAATTTTTTCGGTTCGATTATTTGGTTATGTCAATAATTAGAAACATAATCAAAGTTATATTTGCAATTTTATATATATATAATTTGGTTTTTTTCGGTTTCTCCCTTCTTTTTTCTAGAATCCGAAACCAAAACAAGAAACCAATCAATATAAATATTAATCCAAAATTAAATTAAAAAAATTAATCCAAATTAGAATACGATTCAAATTTAATGTAAATTATTAGCATGTATTTAAAAATATTTACATAATAATAGTAATATTAATCAGTAATTAATTCATGCAAGTAAATATTTACTCATAAAGCACCTTTCAAATAAAAATCTCTATAATATTGTTAGATCCCATTTTTCAATCCAACTCGTCCTATTTATATGGACAAAATATTTATCTTTCAAAATATTGTTCCCTTCTCTCCTTTTCTAACGTATCTTTTCCAATTTTCTTTATACATGTAAATTGTAATATTTCTTCATTTCATTTTCTCTTTATATATCTATATATATATATATATATATATAATAGGAGAGGTGATAACGCTTACGTGTCAGCACCACAAAAAACAATAATTGTTATTAATTAAAATAATTAATTATTAAAAATATTTTTTACTAAATAATTATTTAAAATAACACGTGTCATTTTAAAACTTCCCACTACTCCACAAGTTGATAAAGTATATAAGTTTTTTTTTAAAAATAATAATTAAAATTGTTCTAAAAATATGCAGTTGTAACGTGTTAGATTCCATTTTTTGTGGAAAGAGAAATTTAATTACCTTTACGTAACCTTTTTATTTAATACTCTACGATTAAATAATAACTTAAATATGGTGATTAACGTTTGTGTGTGTTTGATTCCCTTTTTTTGTGAAAAATATTTTAAATTAGTTAAACTTTATTATTTAAAATTAACATCTAATAAGTCCTTAAATTATAAACCCCTGTAAATTTCTTTAAAAATTGATCATTTAAATAATATTTAATATTTTAAGTTTTATATCAGGTTTTTTCTTATTTACATTTTAAAATAAATATTTTTTTTTAGAAAATTAAAAAATTCAACCAATAATAATAATAATAACAATAATAATAATAATAATAATAATAATAATAATAATATAAAAACACATCACCTAAATAGGGCGATTTAATAATCCTTTTTTTAAAAAAAAAAGTAATTATCTAACTAAATAGGGAGTTTAAAAAAATAAAACTTCTCATTTTTAGTCCTACTTATAAACAAATTGAAAAAAAATTAAAATTAAAATTATTTAAATTATTTCTCTAAAAAAACATACTAACTAAACAATGTGTTTAGTTTACGGGAAAATTTCTTCTTTGTTTTGTTTTCTTAAAATTATTTTTATTCTGACAATTAAAATTTAATAATAATAATAATAATAATAATAACAACAACAACAACAACAATTATAATAATAATATAAAAAACATCCACCTAAATAGGACATTTTGATCGTTATTTTGAAAAAAAAAAAAAAAGTAATTATCCAACTAAATAGGGAGTTTTAATATTTCCCATTACACTCCTACTTCTAAACAAATTGAAAAACTTTTAAATTAAAATTATTTCTTTTAAAAAAAGCACTAACTATTGTTTAGTTTACGTTAAATAAATATTTTATTTGCTTTTATTTTCTTAAAATTAAAATTTTATTTTGACAATTAAAATTTTAAAATTCAAAAACTGAATGCTAAATAATTAAATAAGAAATATGAAGTTAAATTTTTTTAGATATCTCCATCATTATTTTAAAATTTTAAAATTCTCTCTCTCTCTCTCTCTCTCTCTCTCTCTCTCTTATATATATATATATATATATATATATATATATATATATATATATATATATATATATAATATTTCCAACTGAAAAAACTTTATAGTTGATGGCTGATGGGATGTTTCTTTTTCTGACACTACTTTACTTGAATGCTTTTTGATCTTTCCTTTTTTCAAGGGTATATGTATTGTGTACATATATTTTCAAGAAAGATTAAAAAAAAAGGCTCTCTATTTCCTTTACTTTTTGAAGAAAAAACTCTTCTTTTTTCTCTTCTCTTTACTTTTTCAACTTTGTCTTCTTTACGTTGTCGTCGTCGCATCGCCGGAGCCGGAAACTGATTTTCTCTTCTTTCTTCTATTCTCTGTACTTTTTCAAGCTTTGTCCTTTTTACATCGCCGTTATTTTGCTTTAATAGGGGTCTCAAGGCAAACTGAAATAGCAAATCCAACGGAAGAAGAATCAAATTGAGTTAAGAGTTGTATGGCCCACCAACAATTGTTGTTCATTTTTTTAAAAATTAGTCTACATCCATATTTATGGAAAAATTAGCAAACTAGTCAAAAAATCTAACTTAATTAGTAAAAACCTCCATACTTTATAAAAATTAGTAAGAATGTCATTATTTTAGAAAATATTGTGTATCCTAATTTACTTCCTATTTTGTCTCACCTTAATTACACATTTTTCAACTCTCTCTCTCTCATATTTTTTAAAATATATATTCTCTCTC